CAATTTAGTATTGAAAAAACCGTGAAAATTTGCTAACGAACGATACTAAAATTTTGTCTATGATCCTCATAAAATTTTAACTATTTAGAAAAAATCTCTAAAGAATATGCCATTATATAGAAAAAAGTATGCTCTTTCGTTTGGAATTGACCGATGTTCGAAATTCGGCTTAGAAGTATCACTTTTTTTCAATTTAGTATTGAAAAAACCGTGAAAATTCGCTAACGAACGATACTAAAATTTTGTCTATATTTCTCATAAAATTTTAACTATTTAGAAAAAATTTCTAAAGAATATGCCATTATATAGAAAAAAATATGCTCTTTCGTTTGGAATTGACCGATGTTCGAAATTCGGCTTAGAAGTATCACTTTTTTTCAATTTAGTATTGAAAAAACCGTGAAAATTCGCTAACGAACGATACTAAAATTTTGTCTATATTCCTCATAAAATTTTAACTATTTAGAAAAAAACTCTAAAGAATATGCCATTATATAGAAAAAAGTATGCTCTTTCGTTTGGAGTTGACCGATGTTCGAAATTCGGCCCATTATATAGAAAAAAGTATGCTCTTTCGTTTGGAGTTGACCGATGTTCGAAATTCGGCTTATTATATAGAAAAAAGTATGCTCTTTCGTTTGGAGTTGACCGATGTTCGAAATTCGGCTTAGTATATAGAAAAAAGTATGCTCTTTCGTTTGGAGTTGACCGATGTTCGAAATTCGGCTTAGAAGGATGTTCGAAATTCGATTTAGTATTGAAAAAACCGTGAAAATTCGCTAACGAACGATACTAAAATTTTGTCTATATTCCTCATAAAATTTTAACTATTTAGAAAAAATCTCTAAAGAATATGCCATTATATAGAAAAAAGTATGCTCTTTCGTTTGGAATTGACCGATGTTCGAAATTCGGCTTAGAAGTATCACTTTTTTTCAATTTAGTATTGAAAAAACCGTGAAAATTCGATAACGAACGATACTAAAATTTTGACAATATTCCTCATAAAATTTTAAATATTTAGAAAAAATCTCTAAAGAATATGCCATTATATAGAAAAAAGTATGCTCTTTCGTTTGGAATTGACCGATGTTCGAAATTCGGCTTAGAAGTATCACTTTTTTTCAATTTAGTATTGAAAAAACCCTGAAAATTCGCTAACGAACGATACTAAAATTTTGTCTATATTCCTCATAAAATTTTAACTATTTAGAAAAAATCTCTAAAGAATATGCCATTATATAGAAAAAAGTATGCTCTTTCGTTTGGAATTGACCGATGTTCGAAATTCGGCTTAGAAGTATCACTTTTTTTCAATTTAGTATTGAAAAAACCGTGAAAATTCGATAACGAACGATACTAAAATTTTGACTATATTCCTCATAAAATTTTAACTATTTAGAAAAAATCTCTAAAGAATATGCCATTATATAGAAAAAAGTATGCTCTTTCGTTTGGAATAGACCGATGTTCGAAATTCGGCTTAGAAGTATCACTTTTATTCAATTTAGTATTGAAAAAAACGTGAAAATTCGCTAACGAATTAGAAGTATCACTTTTATTCAATTTAGTATTGAAAAAAACGTGAAAATTCGCTAACGAACGAGAAGTATCACTTTTATTCAATTTAGTATTGAAAAAAACGTGAAAATTCGCTAACGAACGATAAGTATCACTTTTATTCAATTTAGTATTGAAAAAAACGTGAAAATTCGCTAACGAACGATAAGAAAATTCGCTAACGAACGATAATA